GTCTGCTAAAGAGTACATTAATATTCATTTTTGAGCCAGAATGATTCGACATTTAAAGATGACTTCCCTACGACTTTAAAAGAAGAAACGGTGTCGGTCGGCCTTCCTCTCACCGTCTTTCTGCTGATCGTCTAGTTGTGTCTGAGGAAACTCCACGTCGAAGGTGATGATGAGGGAACCTCGGATGTTGATGTTGTCAAAGTTGGGCAGACCTTCTCCTTTCTTCCACATTCGAGCTCCGGGTTTGGTGATCTTGTCTCTCACTATGTGGACCTGTGAGGCAGAGAAAGGCGTTCAGCTTCACCGCTCCGTTACGAGCATAACTTCCAAACGCTTGTAGAAAATCCACAGAACCTTGTGACCGTCCAAATGCACGATGTCCATCTCAAAGCCCACCAGCGCCTCCACCAGAGAGATGGTGACGTTGGTGTACAGGTCGTCTCCTCTGCGCTCAAACACCGGATGTCTGGAGGAGAGAAAGCGATCAGCCGTCATTCAGTGTGTCTGGAACCTCACCTCCTATTCAAATTAAAGAAACGCCGTTTCATACTTCAGCACTTTGATGCGGAACCGCAGATCTCCGGGCTCGCCGTCGATGTGAGGTTCACCTGAGGTAAGAGAGAAAACGTTAGGAACAGCTGATCCCACGTTAACGGAGCGCTCTGATTAAGCTTAACGGAGGTCACCTTCTCCAATGAAGGGGTACTCCATCTCATCTCGCACCCCCTGCTCGATCTCCACCTCCAAGGTTCTCTCCTCGTTCACCAGCCTGGGTTGAGGACAACGTCACACGTCAGGCACATTTACCCGCCCCCCTCGTTATATGAGCGCCTCAATTAAGGATTTATCCAAAGAGCACAGATCCCGTCGGTAAAGGGCGCCGCCATTTTCACAGTCACTGCTGGAGACGCACCCCATGACAGTAATTTAATAAAGACATTAAATCCACAGACCTTTGTGTTAGGTTTATAATCCACCAATGTTGGGATTAAATCTACAAACTTTAGGCTTAAGTTTCCTCCAAAACATCTTGTGAAAACATTTCTTTTTTTGCTCATTTGACTTAACTTTATTGGCAAAAATCTAGTTAAAAAAAAAATTTCAAACATCTCTACAAACAGCAGTCAGGGGTTTAAAAAAAAAAAGTAATTACAGAATAAATTAAAACTCAGAAATACCTTACATTTTTAAATAAAAGCATTTAATAAACAAAGATAAAAAAAATGTCAGCATGAACCAAATTCCTGGTCTGGACTCTAATAAGTGCTGCAAAGATGGCGGCTCCTTATTCCTGCAGAAGGCTCCCGCTCTATAAACTCACTGTTGCTTCCATGGCAACAGAACGGTGATCCAACAGGTGGAGTAAAGAGGGATACCCACATAAAATAAATAAATAAATAAATAACCTTAGAGGGGTCAATGAATTATGATGGAGTATTACGACCAGCCTAGAAATCTTATTTTTATTTTGCGAATAAAGTCGTAGTGTTATAGCCTCGCGAGCTTTCAAGGTTTCACTCGCTAATCATTCTGGAGACTCACCGTTAAAGAA